CCCCGCCCCCCCCCCCCTGTCCCCCTTGCGCGTGCCGTGCCTACCTGTCGGCTTCACTCTTTTTCGCGGACTCGACCCAGTTGGTGGCACTCGCCTCGCGCTCTCTCGTCGGCTCTATGTCGACCGACGGCGGCAATGAGTACGGCTACGAGTACAGCTTTTATGATGAAGATTGCTCCGAGAGCACGGGCGAGGGCAGGGGTGAGGGAAGGACCGAGCTGTCGCAGATGACGAGCGACGACGCAGGTGCGGATGCTCCTGGCGACAACCGCCGTGCAGGAGTGGCGCTCACGGTGCGTAAGGCCGAGTCGATGACCAGCAGCCATGCTGAAGATGGAGACGACATAGTACAGAAGCGGTGGCCATGGATCTCGCCGGTCGGCTTTCTCGTTGTTCTCTCCATGTTTGGCTTTGTCCAGTCGATGGTGGTCACCGGCCTGATGTCTGTCAACATCGCATCGCTCGAGACCCGATACCGGCTCTCGTCGAAAGAGTCGTCGATGGTCTCGTCAGTGTACGACATCACAGTCACACTATCGGTGGTGATTATCACTATCCTGGGCGCGCGAAGCCACAAGCCGCGAACTCTAGCTCTCGCCTTTGTCCTCCTCGGCGTCGGCTCGCTGGTCTTTGCGCTCCCACACTTTGTCGCCGGCAGCTACACCTTTTCAGCCTCCGGCTCGGTCGTCGACATGTGCGTCCTTCCGCAACTTTCTGGTTTGGGCACGCGCGCTCCTCATCGGGACTGCTCAGCGCGCTCCGAGCTCGCATACGCGCTTCTCATTGTCGGTCAGATCATCATCGGCTTTGGCGCTGCACCGCTCTACACGCTCGGCCCAGCGTACCTTGACGAGAACCTCTCGGCGGACCGGCTCCCACTCTTTCTGGGCGTCTTTTACGCCATGACAGCAGTCGGACCAGCTGCGGGCTTTGTCGGCGGCTCGATGATGCTCTCGATCTGGGTCGAGCCGGGCTCACGGCCTCAGGGCATGCAGGAAACTGATCCGGAATGGGTCGGCTGTTGGTGGCTCGGCTACCTTGTTGCGGCAGGACTCTCGTTCTTGTTTGCCGTGCCGCTTGCCACCTTTCCGCGCATCCTCGACCAGCGATTCTACGTGCCGCCGATTGCTCGCTCGCTCCGCGACCACGTCGTCTCGCTCAAGGCCGTCCTCGTCTCGGGCCCGTGGGTCCTCGTCTCGCTTGCCACCTCAGCCGAGGCCTTTCTCCTCTCGGGCGGCTCGCTGTTTATGGCTAAGATGGTGCAATCGCTGTATGGGGTCTCGGCATCGCGGGCAGGGCTCCTTGTGGGAGCTATGGTTGTGCCCGGCGCTGCTGGTGGCATGTTTGCCGGCGGTTGGGCAGTCGGCCACTGGAAGCTCAGCGTCAAGGCCAATGCCAAGCTCACGCTTGTCATCGCCTGTCTGGCTGCCGCCGCCATGGCATTCTTCCTTGTCGGATGTACCAATGCGCCGATGGCCGGCGTGACCCGCCCGTATACGAGTGAGGCGAGCGTGCCAGTGCCACCCCCAACGGCGCGGCCGATCGTACCGGCCTGCGCCGCCAATTGCTCGTGCTCGACATGGCCGTTCAAGCCGGTCTGCGGCTCGGACAAGATTCAGTACTTTTCTGCTTGCTTTGCCGGCTGCCGCGACCGCTTCCCGCGTCGCGACAATGGCAATCTCAACGCTTTGAGCCTGCAGAACTGCAGCTGCGTGGCTTCGGGCCTTCCCGCGCCGGCTCCCGCCAGCCTCGGATCGGCATCGTGGGGCCTCTGCTCCACAAACTGCCCATACCTCCCGCTCTTTCTCGCCGGTCTTCTCGCCGCCATGTTTTTTCGTTCTTCATTACCTCACCGATGGCGACGTACACCATGCTTGTCGTGGCTCAAGAGCATCGGGCCTTTGGCCTCGCCGCGCAGTCGGTCGCCTTTCGGCTCCTCGGCGGCATTCCGGGCCCGGTTGTCTTCGGCGCTCTCCTTGACTCGGCGTGCCTTCTTTGGGAGCGCAAATGTAACGAGACGGGATCCTGCTATCTCTACGACTCGTGGCTTGTCCGCATCCGCATCTACGTTCTTGCCCTCGCCTGCAAGGCCGTCTCGATCAGCGTCCTCGTTGCCGCCTGGCGCCTCGCCCCTACCGGCATGCAACGCGTTGACACGACAGCGGACGTCATCGAAGACGTTCCAGTCGCGCTCCCTCGAGCGGCGAACCCAAGATTACCCGAAAGTCGTGCCACGACTGATCATGCGGCTGCTGACCGTGTGGCTGCCTGTGATTAGCACAGTCGCTGCTGGCAGTCGATTGGCCGTCTGTGTTCGGCTTCCATCCTCTTCTTTGAGCGACGGGAGGATACACCGGGGGTAAGGGCAGCTAAACTCGACTCGAGCGAAGGGCACAAGCGAGTATGGCGGCAGAAAGAGGAGGTGGTGGTGGTGAAGACATGGTGTACTTTGCGTGTGCTGGGTGCGGCAAGTCACTGCTCCTTGCCGAGCACGTCAACGAGCACGAGGCCGGCGAGGGCCAGACGTCGTTCAAGTGGCGCAAGCGCGATGCGGCGGTGGTCACTGCCCAGCGTGACGACTCGATCTGCACCTCGTACTTTGTGGATCGCATGGGCTGGATGGGTGAGATGGACGCCAACGAGGGCCGTGTCTGCTGCCCAAAGTGCAAGGCCAAGCTCGGCAAGTACTTTTGGTCCGGGACCCAATGCTCGTGCGGGGCGTGGGTGACGCCGGCTATCCAGATTTCAAAGGCCAAGGTCGACTGCAAGACGATTGCAAGCTGAAGCACAGTGGAGGAGAAAGTGTGGGGTGGGGTGCTGGTTACGAGTGGCTGAGCGGAAAATGCGCCGTCTTGGGTGAGCCACCACCAGAGGGACTGCCGATCGGGAGCGAGGCTGACGACGAGGCTTGCGACATGGGCGGCGGCTGGAGGAAGGCCTGCAGCCGAAGGCGGATGTCCCCGGAGACCCTGTTCTTCGATGACCGCCGCTGGAGAATAAAGACGTCATCATGGCGCTCGCCGTCGCAAAACTTGGCAATGTTGATGACCACCCGTCCGAGGAACGAGTCGCGGAGCTTCTCCTTGCCCATGACCGACACCTCGATCGACGGCACGTCGGTGTCAAGCGTGAGCACAAAGGCCTCGCGCCAGACCGGAGCTAGGCTCCGCTTCACCACCTTGGTCTTCCGCTTCGTCCGTCCGTGCTTGACTTGACAGTACACGTTGGGCTTGTGACGGCCGGGCTGATGGAGGCCGCGGGCGTTGACCACTTCGACCTTGATCCGCGCCGAGAGGCTGCGCTCGCCATCAGGCAAGCCTGCAGCCGACGATGACAAGTTGAGCGTCGGCGATGCTGTCAGGTCGGTCACCTCGTTGAGCGCCACCTGCGCCTGTGCTGGGATGGAAAGCTCGAGTTGCGGAAAGGCAGCCAAGATCGGCGAGCCGTCGTTGGCGTCGCGGATGCACTCAAAGTGGACACGCCCGAACCCGTCCTCGGTCTCGATGCGGACCCATGGCGGCTCGTAGAAGAAGAGCCCGTGCATGTCGCGCGTGGCCGCCCGCACATTGGCCTCCAGCAGCGCAATTTGCTCCTCGACGGCCGCACGTTCCACCGAGCCCTCCAGATACAGCTCCTCAAGCGAGACGAGCCCAGTGAGCGTCCGCCGGTCGGCGGAGATCGATGCCTGGATCTGTTGCGCTTTGGCCTCGCGCTGCTCGGGCGTGGTGACGCCAACCAGCGGCTGCTGGCACGCTGCGCACATCGGCGCGCAATGAGCGTGGAACGACTCCTCGCCAAACAAAAGTGACGAGAGCGGCTGCAGCAGCTTGCCGCAGGCTACGCACGGTTCCTTGGCTGTCTCGCTGGAGAAGAGCTCAAAGACAGACTTCTCACCAGGCGACTTGCGATTGCCTGGGCTCGCCTTCTTGTTGCGGGAGACAAGCTGTGCGTGCTGTGGCGTCGAAAGCGCCATCTGGCCGGCTAGCCGCGGGCGCGGCGAGACCGGCGGTGGGCTTCCTGACTTGGGCAGCTGGAGCGTCGGCACTGGCGAGTCCGAGTCGCCCTTGCCCTTGTCCCGCCCGGGTGTGTCAACCTTGATGACAACGGCCGGACCTGCTCCATCGTCGCCGCCATTGGCGTCTTCGGCGGCCGGTGCCCCGAGCGCATGAATGTTGCCCTGCAATGACTTGATCTTGAGATTGGATTCCAGGAGCGCTTGCTTGGCCTCGTCAAGCGCAATTTGTAGCTCGGCGTTGTGGCTCTCAATCTCTTCGATCTCGGTCTCCAGCTCACGTGCGTATGCCACCTGATTAGCCATCATTTGCATGACCTCCTGCAGCTTCGCCTTAAACTTATCCTCGAGTGCCACCGCTTTCTCCGTGATGTGCGCGTACTTGTCCTCCAGCACCGCCAGCTCGTCGCGGAGCCGCTCATTCTCGTTGTTGAGCTCGGCAACCACGTTGTGTGACATCGGATACGACGAGAGCGTCGAGACCGAGTCCATGGTCTCGTACGTCCACTGCTTCGAGTCGCGGAGCGTAGAGTAGCGGTCTCGGGCCGATGACTGCGCTTTGGTCGGGAGATCGTTGCGCTGCGCCGTGCCAACGTCTCTGCTCGAAGACGATTCCGAGTCGTGGGTCACTGCCGTGAGCGCCGTCCCGTCCGAGTCCGAATCGTCGCTTCGTTCGAGGGCTGATGCTTCGGCCTCGAGCTCGGCAATGTGAGCCTCGGCTCGCTTACGCGACGCCTCGGCTTCAGCCGATCGTGACTCCGCGACTGAGAGGGCAAACTCGAGCTCGTTGACTCGGCGCCCCAGATCGCGCACCTGCTCGGCACCCTCCTTTCCTGCAGAGAACAGCTCGGCCTCAAGCGAGGCCACCAATGACTTGGCCGAGTCACGCTCTTCCTCGAGGGCAGCCACCAGCGACGCCGCAGACTTGCGCTCGGCCTCGGCTTCGGCCTGTACCTCGTTCAGCGTCTCCTGAACATTGACAGCCTCATGCACCGCGCGAGCCACCTCATCCTGTGCCGCATCCAGCTGCTTCTCCAACTCGGCCACTTTCGCCGCCAGCTCGGCTTCAACGGACTCCTGCTCCTTGCTGTTGTTTCCGGCAGCCTGCAACGCCGATGCCAGCTCTGTCTGGAGCTCCTCGACCTGCTCACGCGCTGTCGCTGCTGCGGCCTCGGCGGCAGCTAGGTCGGCCTTGAGGGAGTCGATCTGCTTGCGGTCGGCCTCTGAGACCTGTGCAGCGGGCAATTCGACGTTGACGCCATTGGCTGCGGCTTGCAGCTGGACTTCGCCAGCCGCCAGCTGAGCTCGGAGCGCGCTGGCATCTTCACGCGCAGTTGTCGCCTGTTCCTCGGCAGCTGCCAACTGCGCCTGGAGCTTGACGACATCCTCACGCAGGGCTGTAGCGTCGGCCTCGGCAGCCGCAAGACGCTCGAGCGCCTCACTCTCGCCCGCGTCGTCATTGGTAGCACCACGCTCGAGTTCGGTCCGCAGCGAGACCACAAGCGCGTCGGCAGCGGCGGTGGCTTGCGGGCAGCAGACAACTCCCGCGAGTTGGCAGCCAGGGCGGCCTCAGCCTCGATGAGCTTGACGGCGAGGGACTCGTTCTCGGAGAGGAGTGAGGTTTGCTCCGACGCCTTGGCGGCGGACCGCTCGAGGTCGGCAGCGCGAGCAGCTTCGCGGTCGAGCGCGGCCCGGACCGACACCAGCTCTGACTGAAGCTTGGCCGGATCGGGCTTGTGAAGCAACTGGTTCCTTAGGCTCGCATTTTCCTTCTGCAAGTCAAGCGCAGCACCTCTAGTGGCCCGAACATCGGCCGCCATGCTGTCGACCTTGTCCTTCAGTGCATCGCGCTCGGCCTCGAGCCGCGACGCCAGTGCGCCAATGTCATGGAGCTCGTCGCCCATCAACTGGCACTGCCGCTCCAGCGTAGCCAGTGCCAGTGCCGATGCCTCATCGACCTTGGCCTTGTTCGCCGACGACAATGGCGATGGCGATGGCGATGGCGACGAGGAGATGTCGCGCGGCAGAGTCTTGGCTTGGACACGCGCGGCGGATGCGGCTTCCCGCGCGGCCTCGGCCTCGCCACGCAGCACCTCGAGCGTCCGCTCCTGCTCGTTCATGATGGCGCGTGCTGCAGCCAGGAGCTCTTCCAGCTTGCCCGCGCGCTGTGCCTCGGCGTTGACACGGAGGCGGGCATCAGCCTCGTTTCTAGCCAGGGCAGCCTCTAGCTCCATGACGGTGCGATGCTGCTTCTCGAGCGCAGCCTCGAGCGATGCCTTTTGACCCTCGCAGGCATGTATGCGGTGCTTGAGAGCCGCCACCTCGGAGAGAAGCGTCTCGTGCTCCGACTTGAGGACCGAGTTGACTCTTTCGAGGGCGCCGGCAGCTTCGAGGCGTACCTGCAGCGCCGAGAGTGTCTGATCGCGCTCCTGGACCGAGGCAATCCACTGGATCCGGGCTGCCTCGTGCGCTGCGCGCTCGGCGTCGAGCGTCTGCGCGGCTGCTGCCTCACGGTCACGCATCCGCAAATACATCTCCTTATACTGCTCGGCGGCCATGTCGCGGCCCGAACCGACGAGGACTGCGTCTGAGGTGGCCAGCCGCGACGGCGGCTGCCGAGCCAGGGGCATCCACGTCGACCGTGAGGTCCGCTCCGTCGACGACAGAGCCAGCGGAACCTCGCGGAGGGCAGCGCTACCGCCGCCTGTCGGTCGGTGTGCGTAGAGCGGGAGTGGCGCAGTCGCCGCCAAGCGGGACGGCGCCACCTGAGGCTCGTCGGCTCGTAGCCTTGCAGGCCCACCAAGGTCGGTCATGTGTAGTCCGCGCGACAGAGGATGCTCTGTCACACTCTCGCCCCGCTGCGCATCACGCTCAGCCCGCACCCGCGCAGTAAGCGCCTCCAGCTGCTGGCGGGCAGCATGCAGCCGCTCCTCCATGTTGGTGTGCAGACGTTCAAGAAGAAAGAGGGGGGAGGAAAGAGGGGGAGGGGGAGGAAGGGGGAGGGGGGGAAGGGGGAGGGGGAGGGGGAATAAGGAGAGAGAGAGGGAGAGAGAGAGAGGGTACCTGCAGTCGTGCGAACAAAAG